AATGGATAAAGAAGATGTGGTATATAGACACAATGGAATACTACTCAGCCATAAGAAACGATGAAATCCAGCCATTTGTGACAACATGGATGGACACTGAGGGTATTATGCAAAGTGAAATAAGTCAGAGGGAGAAGGTCAAATACTGTATGATTTCCTTCATTAAGTAGTAGGTAATAACAATAATAAACAAACACATAGAGACAGAGATTGGATTGGTGGTTACCATGGGCGACGGGGGGAGGGAGGAGGGCAAAAGGGATAATTCGGCACGTGTGTGGTGATGGGTTGTAATTGGTATTTGAATGGTGAACATGATGTAATCTATGCAGAAATAGAAGTATAACGATGTACACCTGAAATTTATACGTTATAAGCCAATGTTACTGCAATAAACAAAACAAACAAACAAAATTCAGCTTTCTCCTTAGTTTCAAAGGGAAATACTTTCCCCCAGTTTTTAAATTGTGGTAAAATATACATAACATAAAATTTATCATTTTAACCATTTTTAAGTGTATAGTTCTGTCCATTAAGTACATTTACATTGTTGTGCAACCATCATCAAAAGGGAAACTTTTAGATTTTCTTTTCAAAGATGACAGTCCTTACATCAATTTTAAGTATTAAATCTGGGGACGGTTTAGGTTGGAAAAGAAAAGGGCAATATTTGCTCTTAACTTCAAGCTTACCTAGCCCTGAATAACTAGAAATTGTTTAAATAAAAATATACTTAGTGCCTTCTGTAGTAGGAATCTGACTGGATGTCAAAAAAGAGCCTTTTTTTAATTTCAAATGGGCAGAATTTCACTAACTTCACCTAGCCATTGCACACAGTTAAAAAACATTTTCATAGAAAACTTCTGACATCTTCTAAACCAGTCCTTTCACCAAGGATACTCTACATTTCCTAGACATAGCCAGAGATTTGTGAAGAAGATCAAAGTCTTTGCTTATGAAATTAACTAGATACAAAGATCAGATGAGACCTTAAAATACAAGCTGGCAAAGACATGAGTCCCACTGCCCCTCCTCCACTGGACCTTCCCTGGCATTTAATTCTACCTGCTGCTTGAGCTGCTGTACCAGGCGATCCTTCTCCCGCTTCAGAGCAGCCACCTCCTCTTGGGTCTTTTTCTTAGAGGATGAAAGCTCCAAAAGAGCTATATTGGCATCTTTTTCACTAATGGCAGCCAGAAGAGCTTCTTGCCTGCAAAAGAAAGAAAACGCCAAGACTTTCATTTAACCCTCACTACAGTCCTTTGAAGTTACTATTATTATTACCCCCATTTTATGGGTGATTAAACTAGGGCTTAGAGAGCTTGTATAGCTTGCCCAAGATCACACTTGAAGTAAATGGTGCAGCCAGGAATCCCACTCAGGTTTTTCTGACTCTAAATGTCTTTATTATGTTGTTATACTGACATCTTAATAAAGAGTTCCTAGATGTAAACTTTAAAAGTAAAAAAAGTTAATGACTTGTTTTTAAGTAAGAATAATCCTGTCACCTATACACTTTTCCCATTTAACTCATTCTTTGGATAAGTATTCTATAGCTTCCCAGCAAATTGAGGCATTACTGAAACTGAAAACACTTTTTTATGCATAGGGTGTGTAACAAATTGTAAATGTTAGTAAATAAGATTTAGAAAAATCAGCCAGCCATCTGTTCCTGGGGCTTTCTGAATACCTATAACTCTTTTTATCTCATCAATGCAAATAAGTTTCCAGTCGTGGCTTTATTTGGCAATAAGCTGTACAATCTGACACAATAACTTAAACTTTACAGATTCCTTGTGATTTAGCTAACTACTTTTTGGTTCATATCCAGAAGGAAAAGAAGATGAAATTTAGTAGGGAGTGAACATGAGAAAATAACAAAATAATCAGAATGAAGTTGGTGAACAATTAGTCTACAGTCCAAAATGCATTCCTCAATAGATCATCTTCTATGTAAGTCATCCATAAGAAGACAGATTTGATTTACAGGAATTATATAAGTGGCCTGAGCGTTTGATCTGAGGAAATGCTGAATCTGAGAATGCACTGCCCAAGTTTAACCTTGCTTCTGACTTTTGTTAAGATAATTATGCCTCAATAGCAGTCATATGGAAGAGTTTTGGTTTAGCCACAAACTAGAAGACTATCTTTTAAATTTTCTGAGAAGGATATTCTGTATTCTGGATGGGTAGATCTGGGGAACTCCAAACAAGCGGTACTAACAAATAGCGGTTGTAGATCAGTTTACATCACGGAAATGAAGATCTGTTTCACCAGTCTTTGCTGTTGGAAGGGAAGAAGATTCTCAGTGACTCCAGTATAACTTTCCACTATCCTCACACTCTATATAATTCTAAGAAACAGCAGATGGCTTATCCCATGAAGCTCTAGTCAACACCAAAGGGATAGCGATAGTCTAAATATATCCACTGACCACTTGAAAAAAATATGTTAAGTGGTGAAATGAGCTTAAAGGTGAAGGAGTTCAAGATGGTCTCACTATGCACAGTTTCCTGTTGATTGCTGTCATCTGTTCCCTTTTGGGAAGCTCGAAGACTGACAAAGCTGGAATGAGAAATGCGCTTTCTCAACAAGGGTGCTGCATTTCTGTGCACCAATAGTCAGAATTACACACTTAGCAGCAGGCAAATAACAGAAGATGAATGAAAGATAAATTACTCTATTCAGTTAGACCGAGTCATGAGCACCTTCGCTGAATACAAGATACAAAGGTACTGGGATCTGAGTTCCATTCTGTGCTTAAGGAAAGCACCATCATATGAAATAGTAGTAAAAATTATTCTATATTGTTGAAGCATCTTGACTGAATTCCGAATTCTTTTATAAATGATATGCTTGGCTAGTTAGCGTGGCACAGTTAATCTATGGGTAAAATGTCACATTCCCAAACTGCAATAGGATATAACAGGTGACAATTCAGATTCTAAATTTTAAAATAAAGAATGTGGCACTGGAGGCTGAGCCATTGGAATAATGCCTTTTAAATAAGATATAATTTGAAGTTTTTTCTTTTTATATACAATTCAAATAGAAATTTTATTATGTCATTGATGCTATTTATTTTTTATTGAGCATTGCTAATATACTATGAACTACACAGAATCAAACTTTCTCTCTCATACCCATGGCTCTCACCTTCTAAAAATTCCCTAACAGATTAACATACCATTGTCCTTTCCATTTTAAAAGTATACTCTTGACATTGATTTCTTCATGTGTATGTGCCTAAAAAGGGCAATTCATAGTCAAGAGAATAAAATGTTTTGATTATACATTGTACATGTAATCATATAAACTCTCAGTATCTTTTATGGGTATATTGGCTTTTAAGTTCTTCTTTTGTTTTTGGAAAGTGACAGAGATAGTATTAATATCTTGTCTACAATTTTAGTACATTTGAAATGGACACTTATAGGGAAGAACAACCTCTTGAAAAAAATTTGGAGGAATAGTAAAGGTGATAAATAGTAACAGCCATCTAACTTTTTGAGAATAAAAAAAATTATTCTTCCCTTAATATATCTGATAGAAAAGACCATATGGTGTAGTTGAACTTACGTGGTTAAGTTTTACAGAGAGCACTCAAAGTATCTAAACTACAAAATTTTGTTAAAGGCACCCTGCTTTTCAGTGGGAATGGGATTCAAAGTGAAAAAAAAAAAAGCAAACTACAAAAAGAATCTTATTGTAGTAGCCACCTACTCCTAATATAATTGCTTCTTTGAAAAAATATATTTTCTGATAAAAGTAACATGCATTCAGGGCCAGCCCGGTGGCACAGTGGTTAAGTTCACACGCTCCACTTTGGTGGCCTGGGGTTTGCCAGTTTGGACCCTGGGCGCGGACATACTCACCGCTGATCAAGCCATGCTGAGGCGGTGTCCCACATAGAAGAACTAGAAGGACCTATAACTAGGATATACAACTACGTACTGGGGGCTTTAGGGAGACAAAAGAACCAAAAAAAAAAAGAGGAAGATGGGCAATAGATGTTCGCTCAGGGCCAATGTTGCTCAAAAAAAAAAAAAAAAAAAAAAAGTAACATGCATTCATTGAAGAAAAACTGGAAGATACAGAAAGAAGAAAATAAAAATACCAGAAATAGTTCTTTTTCAATCAGAGTCAATTGCTTGAGATCTGGAAGTCACCTATTCCTATTCTAATATGGCTATTTTAAAGAAAAATGAAGCTTGATGGGGATTAATAATTGACTTGAAGAGCTTTACTAACTAAAGGCTATCCACAGAAAAGGAGGACTTGCTGGTGGAGCAAGCTCTGACTTCATTTCCCATGAGCCCCTAGGGAGTAATACAAGCACATAAAATATGAAAGGTAATATATGTATGCCACAAGCCCAGGGCAATATAAGAACTGCAACGCTCTTCCTGCCAAATTACTCCTTGTTCTGTTAGTGTCTTTTCCTCAGTAAAAAAAAAAAAAAGAAAAAAAAAATTGAAAATGTGGACACACAACGTTTCAAAGTGATTAGCAACCCCCTACTGCATGATTAACATGCCATATTACTTGCATAATGAGTACTAGTAGCAGAAATCCAACTTTAAGTCATTCAAGTGGTCTATTCACTCCCTCCCTGGTGCTTTAAACTACCAGAAGAGTTGAACCTGCCCTTTGACCTGCAAATTCTAATAGAATCAAGATGTCTCTAAAGTACTCTGCTGTGGAATTTGAGCTAAAGAAATAGTAAGACCACCCCCTATCCCCTTACCCCTTCTGAGCAAATTTCAGAGAAAAGAGGCAAACATCCAAGGAAAAAGGAGCTCAAAATCTTTCTGATAATTCCTGAATCCTTGAGAATAATACAACATTAGCCTTCTATCACTAGTAAATGAGATACATAATCAGTGTTGGAATGATGGTAGTTAACAAATTAAGAGTGAGTCTTAAATATGTGTGTGTGTTTAATAGAAATGCAGGACAGAAAAGGAGTATGAATGAAGGGGTGTTACCAACGTTTATATTCCCCTCTTCCTCAACTGGGTATTTCAAATTGAATGATTAAATAATCATGTTTCATAAATTCCATAATCCTGAAAACATCAGGAAAGAGATCAGATGAAAACAAGAATGAGATCAGTAGCTTTGGACGTATTATTGTCATGGACATGTAGTCACAGTTAAATGACTCCAATTTTAAGATAAATGTGAAACCTAAATTCTCTTATAAATGCCTCCTTGATTCTGATGCCTCCTTTACTTGTTATTTAACGAATCAACTACCCAGAGTGAGTAGTAAACTACTAGGCCATCTCTTCCACTCTTTCATCTCATTTTCTGAAGAAATCCTTTCAATCATTATTTTCTCCAACTTCTCTCACAGAGGTCTCAGAGAGTATGGCAGATACACTACCTTAATTAAGCTCAGTGAAAACCAGTCTGAAGTTGAGGCTCTGTGGGTAAGCCTGACTCAAATGCCTGATCTTTCAAACTTTGGTCCCTGAACGTATATTATCTCCTCTTGAGGTCACCTTTATTTAGATACCCAGAAATATTTTTAATGTAAAATGTCAGCACTACATAAAGTTTTCCATCCACCATAACAGATTTCCCTTTCAATGTTAATTAAATCACCATATTCCTTGGTCCATATGCTTACAACATTTAAATAATTGATTTCTTCTTTGCTCTCCATAACCAACATTCAAGTTTTGTTGGTTCATCCTTTCTAATAGTTTTTAACGAACTCACTGCTTTGTATCTGCATGTTCACTATCAGAGTCACTACCAGCCTTTTATCATGGCCTGTATTATTCTTAAAACCCCTTCTCTGATTTCCCCATCATTCGATACTGTCCTACTCTTCTAACGTCATTTTATCAGGTTTCTTACCACATCAAATGCTTTGGCCAAATATTTGACCAGCTACCATTTTCAACCTATTTCTTCCTCACTGTTCTCCAAAGACCATGTGTCACCGAGTTACTACTTGTTTTCACTTAGGTTTATGCTATGCTCTCTACCTGAAATGGCTGTAGCTTTCTCTCCTTCAAAATCTGGTTCCTCATCTGACTGCTAATTTCTCTCTATTCATCATTTCCTTTCAGCACTTTCACAGTTTAGATTATATTAACAGGCCTTTGCTCTGTAAATGTCCTTCAATTAATTCTTCTACATGTGCAGGGTCTGCTTCCCCAACTATATACTATGTTTATGGCTTATGTCTTCAAAAAT